TTCCAACAATAGCCGCGAGATATCTAGCTGATACATCATATTAAAAAATTATATATAAGTGTTTGTGGTTTTTAAGTTGGAGTCAGCCGATGATTTTTTTACTTAAGCTGCTTTATAAAAAAAAAAGTACTTTTTTGATCGTCTTAAACTTCTGAATGAAATCATTAATCATTTTAATTGGAATTTTATTTTTCTTGCATATACAAATATTCTAGAATGAATTTGCCGTTTAAAACAATAATCTTTTATAAAATAAAAACATCGGCCATTTGCTGACCCATGGATTGAAAAATTCACGATTTCTTTTCATTCAACATAATGTAAAACCAAAATATTTCTTAGCAAAATTAATAAATAAATTGTCAATTAACAACATCTTAAAAATTACATATGTACATTATCGTAGAAATGCTCTACATAGCAATTTAATGGAGTTTTGAAACAAGTAACTAACGGCAAAGTTGACTCACGTTGCCGTTTTTATATCATTGAAATGCATATTTGTACATTTGCACTTTTACAATATATTTACAATATATTTAGATGTTGAAATAAGAATTATAGGTATGAAAAATTAAATTTAGATGTGTGAATGTTAGACTAACATTGTCTCGAACCTACCAATGCGACAATCATCAAATTACTATTAGCATACATCGTATGAATATTAACACTAAACCTACCAAAGCGGTCAAATGACCGCTCCTAAAGCCCGAAAAATAAATGTTTTTTTAATTATTATATGATAATTATTTTGTGTTTATTGTTTATGCTAAATTCTGTATTAATTACAATCAACTAGAAAAGACTATAATTGTTTATTTCAAAAGCGGTCATTTGACCGCTAGTCGGTAGAAATAGGTGTATATAATATGTCGGTAGATTTAATGTTAAAATCGTTACCATAACTATAGATAGATCTTTCATAACCAGCAAGAAAAAATCTGCAAGTAAAGTTAACCAATCAAAAATGACTAAAAGTAATAAGTACATCATTACTAAAACAATTGGAATAAGCTTTCTTAATTATCAATAAATAATTCCTGCAACTTTGTCACTCAATTATCATTACGAACGCGACTTCTCATTTTGTAAATCTATTGACCATTTTCAAGTTTCTAAAAAAATATACTCAGATATAATCGATATTACTGGAATAACTGAACGTAACATTCTTGACACATGTTGGAAATGAAAATTAGCCAGAGTTTCATTCTCTAAACATCACTAAATGATTAATCAACATATTAATTATTTAAAAGTAATTCCACCAGGCAACACGCGACATTTATCAGTTCATCCATCGTCAACTTGTATATTGATAGTTGCCTTGATAGTAGGATTAAAAAATAATGGCGTGGGTTTTCACACTCATAATGCTGTATCGTTGACTTTAGTTAAAATAGTTTTTGGTATCATAAGGTTGTTGTAAGGAAACAAAAGAATGTATAATTAATAATTATTTTGGTATTCAAATACGTCAAATTGTTATGATTCATATAAGAAACATAGCTTGAGAACAAACAATGAGAATGTTTGGTTTATTTTCATACTCAACACGCAGTTTCGCGCAAAGTGATGCCCGAAAACTGTTCCGAAGCGTCATCCAGTAAAATTATTTTTTCGTATCTTTTAATGCGTGCAAAGAGCGTGTTGTAGTAATATGTATAAAGTTTCTCCAGACAGAGTTCGGTGCTCATCTCAGTGACTTTGCGGGAAAATGTCTCGTCGCGTATCATCTTCTTCATGGTGAATTCGTCCTTGGTCAGCAAATCAAGTAACGAATATTTACCAAACATGTTGGTCTGGAGTACTCTGTGACAACTTTTATAGTAAAACTTCTGGTCGTCCAGCCTCTCCTGATATTGCGGGCAGAGGCAGTACATGACGCTTTTGGCGATTGAAAAACCGCGTTGCTCGTACACTGCCAGATGACAGATGACCATTCGAAGCCTGTTATAGTTCGACCGCTCAAAGGCAAAGTCGAATATCGTCTTAGGATCATCTACCGTTTCGACTATACACGGATTGCAGGGGATAGCGCCACTCTGTAGGAGACACTCGGCGCAGGCGTCGTATTGTTCGGAAATATCCGGTTTTATATCTAAGAAAGTTTCGTACAAAGGTGTAATCCGATAGGTAGGCGATTGCTGATTAGGATCGGCGCCCTGCTGCATCAACATTTTGATCATCTCTTCGTCACCCGAGCGCGCGGCGGCACATAATGCCGTGTAGCCGCTGTGATCGATCACGTTAACGTCGACACCCTGGACGACCAGCCACTTGCCCAAACACAAGTCTCCCAGTTGTGCAGCAGCGTGCAGAGCAGTTTTCCCGGCACGGTTTATAGAGTCAAGCTCGTATCCCATCCGCACCATTTCTTCCAGCACGCTGATTTGTCCGACACAGGTGGCGTGATACATCGACGAACTATAGTATATGAAAAACTCAACTATCTCGCCGATGGTTTGCTTTAGAGGACATACTACCGCCTCGAGAAATAACGTGATCAAATCGCAGCATGTATCTGGCTCGTTGAAAATTTTTTGCATCATAGTTTCATCGTCGTAGATGTTAACGCGAGCTCCCGCGGCTAACAGCATCGCGCACAGTTCCGTGCGTTCCAGTAACACAGCTACCGTCAGTGGTGTCAGATTTCCGCTCCCCCTCGCTTCTATGTCGCTTCCCAATTCGATCAAGGTGGGGGCGATCGCTGCGTTGCCGTACCGAGCTGCATAATGCAGCAGCGTGCCAAAGTCGTCGCGCCCCTTCGCCAGATCCTCGTTCAGCATTTCTTTTGCCTCTTCGTTCCGACCCCTCTCGATGTGCTGCAATAGCTTTTTAGGGAACATAAATTTCGCGGCCATTTTCGATTCTTTCGAGACTCAAGCACTCAAGCACTCAAGCACTCAAGCTAGTTACGATGCCAAAGAAGAAGAAACGATTGATTCGAGCTGCTGAAACGACAACGATTATAGTACTCATTACGTGAACGCATGGTAAAGCGTGAATAATGTCGAATAAATGGTGGGGCGATGGCGATTTATTATGAAATAATCGACAAATTATAACAGAGTTGATCGGCATACGTTACATTTGGAAACCCAGATCATCAGCGATGGCAACGACGTTCCTCGCTGCGGCAACACTTTAGCACAGCTTGTGATTCACCTTCTCGTTGAGGTCGAACTGATGGATTTCTGTCTTACTGTCTGTATGTTATCTCAAGGATGAAACTTACTCGGATTATGACAGCTCGATCGTATTAGACTAATACATAAAAGTACGATCCTTATAATCGAATAGAACTCAATGGTTCCAGCCATCAACTTATATATTCCTATAATGAGCCTATTAATTGTAGTAGAGAGATTAAGATAGAATTACAATAGGCTTAATCTGCTGACAAGCTATTGATTCATTCTTAATCGCAATTAAATCGGCTTATGCGAATATGGAAGCAAGCATTGATAAAAGATATCGTGAATATGTCGATGTTTCACATTATCCAGGAAAGTTTATTTTTCATTTCATATCATGTGAAACGAAATAATAACTAATATGTAAGATTTTAATACAACATAACGTCTAGAAGTCTGCAATTAGTTATTTGCGAATACAATATATGAAAATACAAAGGTAAATAATGTCACAGATAAATTCAAGTAATACGCATCAGACTAATTTTATTCGATAATAGATCATGACTAACTCTACCATTGACTTTATAAATATTGAATATGCATCGAAAATATCCTTAAATAATACAATAAAACATTGATGTGAAGTACAAGGTTCAACCAGTTATTATAAAATTTGGAATTAGGTACATTTGAGAATTAGCATAATATCCAGTGATTATCAAATTTTAATGAAAATCTCGCAAGGTAAATGTGTTCTGGATATCGAAGGTATAATCAATCACCCTGAAACCGAAAAAATCACTAAAACCCACTGATAAATCTAGTTTTGTATACCCGACCCCGAATAAAACTATCACGAATATACGTCCACTGGTTTTATCTTAATTTGCATTTGACATCTTTGAGTAAAATATTTTACTTATTAAAAAAATATAATGCTGATATCAATTATGACTGAAAAATAATATTACAGTTTCGACTAATATAAATGATTTGGTTATTTTACACGTAATTCAAAGTCTAAATTATCAACGATGTCTTTACGTAAAATAGAAAATTTCGTTACAAATATTACTAATTTTTTGACACTTCTTTTTCGAGTTTAATAACCAGTTATTCATAAACATTTCTCGATACTCTTAAAACTTGATGAAGAAATTTCAATCGTATATTGATATTTTTAAATTATACGTGATGCAGACTTCTAACGTACCACTGTAAAAAAACTATTACTTAGGAGGTCCGTCAAAGTCTAAAATCTCAAATTTTTTAATTAACAGTCCGGCACGACAGAAATTACAGCATTTTACGTTCCAGCATAGAATGCAGTTACCAATAATGGACTCTTGTCATCTTCATAAAGTGCACTGATATTAGCACGTATAACTGTCGGACGTTTGACCAATATCCAATCGTTCAATTCACTTCGGAATACACAGTGGCTAAAGGCTTATGGAACGTAGTCTGGAGAAATTAATAAACAAAAGAAAAAACTTTGAGACCCATGACACTCGTCTTCATAAAAAACAAGCGGTTATCAATATAACCTGCAGAGCTTGTATTACTCCACTCTTATTAATCCATTCATTCAATAAATTGGAATTTTGTTTTTTTTAATTTGTTTTTTTTATTTTCATTGAACTACGTGATAATGTTATTTAACTATATTGAATAATATGATTATTTGAAATATAACTTATTTCACCCAGAAAATCTAGTATTAAATTTTAGTTGAACCATGTCCTGTACTGTTTTGAATTCACGACATCGCGAGAGAAGCTGCCTCAATAAATAACTAACTTTGATTCTAGGAGAGTTAGGTATGGTCAAGGTTGATGGAAGTATAAAACAAATATGTAACTAATAATTATTTTCATATGTAATCATGTAAAATGTTTATAATACATACGATAATTGTAGTTTAAGATCAAACAATGACAATGTTTGGTTAATTCGCATACTCGGTGTTAATTTTCGAGTACAGCGATGCTTAAAGCAACTAACTATTAACGTTGCAAAGCGTCTTCCAAAAAAATAATTCTTTGGAGTCTTGAAATACGTTCCATGAGAGCGTCATAGTAGTAGGGATACGAAAGGCTCAGACAGTATTTGACGGAAGCTTCCGTAAATACACGTTTAAAGTTTCTGTCGCGTACATAATCTTTCAACCTGTAGTCACACCAGGTCAATAACTCAAATATCGTCACTCTTTTAAACACCGGCAGATCGAGCAATTTCAGACACAGGAGGAAGTACTCTTTACTAGCGGACACAGCCGGTTGATTTTCTGGATTTAAACTGTACAGGTAAGTCGGATCGTAGCGAATGCCGGCCATATGGCATATTGCCTGATGACAAACGACACTTCTAAACCTCTTGTAGTTGCATCGATCAAATGCATGATCGGCCAAAGTTTTAAATTGACAGCCATCCGAGTTACGCGAAAGGATATTGATCGGATTGGAGGGAACACCGCCATTATGAAGTAGGTAGTCAGCACATTCGTCATATCGTTGCGTAGTAATATTTTTGCAGGCACCCGCAAAAGTTAGGTATACAGGTGTAAGCCCAACATGCGTGTCCTTGGCATTAGCATTTGCGCCGTATCTCAACAACACCTTGATCATATTCAATTGACCGTAGTACGAGGCGAGAGATAACGCCGTGAAGCCCGCAACATCAATTGCGTTAATATCAATACCCTTAAGGAGAAGCCACTTCACGAGATTCAGGTCTTTCAGCATTACAGCTGAATGCAGTGCAGTTTTTTGCAAATCGCCTTTAGAATTGATGTTCATCTTTCTATGAGTCAGCATTTCCTCTAACACACTGATATTTCTGGCACAGCTGACGTGATACAGCGAGGAGCCACAGCGTGTAAAGATGTCAGCCATCTCCCGGGGAGTAGGTGTTTTAGGTTTCACGAACTTGTCGATGAATATTGCAATCATATCCGGCTCTGTGCGTTGTTCACTCAAAAGCTTGTACACGACAAATAGGCCTTCACGGGAATTAATATCGAAGTTGCCTCCCAGTCGGAACAACTGTTCTAATGCTGCCGTAGAATTAGATAACGCAGCTGTTACTATAGGTGTAGTTCTTTTGCCCTCCAATGAATTAGGGTCAGATCCGCCTGCGACCAAATCGGGCATGATATCTGCATTGTCGAGTAGAGCTGCATAATGCAGCAACGTGCCGAAGTCGTCGCACGCTGTGAAGAGACTTTTATCTTTTTTCAACGCTTCTCTTAGGTCATCGTTCTTGTGATTCTTTAGATCACTTATCACCTCTGGAGGGAATTGATAGCACTCGGACATTTCAGATGTTTTCAAGATTCAAGCACTCAAGCCAGTTACGATGTCGAAGTAACGATCAATCCGAGCAACTGAAACGACAACGATTATAGTTCTTATGACGTGAACGCATGATGAACATGTGAAATAATGACGACTAAATAGGACAATGATAATTTATTATGAAACAATCGACACTTTGAAACACAAATGATAACAGAGTTGATCGACGTACTTTACATTAGAAAGCCATGCAGATCAGCGATGGCAACGATGTTCACCGCTGCGGCAACACTTCTGAACAGCTTATGATTTATCTACGTGTTGAGGCCAAACTGATCGACTCCTCCCTCACTGCCAATACTTTAGCTCAGGGATGAAATTTACTCAGATTATGGCAGCACAATCGTATTAGACTAATATATAGATACATGATCTATATAATTGGATATAACTTAAAATTCCCATCCGTCAACTTACATTTTGTATAATACATTGAAGTGAAGAGATTACGATGGAATTACAATAGTCTTTAATCTGCTCGCAAACTGTCGTTTCATTGTTAATAACGATTAAATTGGCTTTCGATGCAACCGTATTTGCAATGCAAATATAAAAATAAAACTGCAAATAACGTCACTTATACATTCAAGTAATACTCTATAGAATACTCTGTTATCATTTTCAATCAATCGTTTACATACAGTGTCAATATTTTATTGAATACATGACAATTCCTAAATACAAAAAATTGTCAAAGGCACGTTCAAACTATAATCATTTTCGATAATCAGGAATATCTCTAGTACTGACTATATAAAACATCCTCCCGAGAAGAAACCGCAAGGTACAAGATTAAGCCGATCGTAATCAAACTTGGAACGAGGTGTACATGATTGAGAATCGGTATAACGTCCAATGATTATAAAATTCGTACGAACATCTCGCTAAACGAGTACCAGATCTGGGTATCGAGGGTACAATCAAAACATTAGAGTCAACTGCTCGAGGTCTTCGTCATTTAGATAGTCGACAACTATTCTCGCTGCCAACTCGCACTGGCCCCGATAGCAGTGCATAATTTGAAGCAGAACTGCGACCGCGACGTCCTCCAGTTCGGCCGTACGCCTGGCCTTGGCTATTCGCTCATTGAGCGCACTGCAGTAATAGGGAAAGAGCTCGTTATTTTGGTCCTCCGAGAGTAATATCTCCAGCGTCCCCATCAAATCGTCGTTGCGCACGAGAATCTTCATTCTGACTTTGCTGTTTGTCAGCAACTCGAGCACAGTCAAGTTCGCGCGAAGCTCGCGCTTGAGAAATTCACGGCAGGAGTCGAGCATCGCCGGAATGGTCGAGCGCAGTCGGTCTTGTTTGCAGTGGACGTCCGACTTGGTAATCGGCCTGCCAAGCAGGCCGAGCATTGCCAAGTGATTGATTAGCATGTTGATCTTCTTGGGCTCGTTCTTGTCGAGGGCGATGTCGAGCAGTCTGCTGAAATTTCGGGGAATGGCGCCGTGCTCGAGTAGCAGCTGCAGGCATTCGTCCGACTCGTCGACGGGCACGTTGCCGAAATTCTTGAAGACCAGGCGCAACGCCGTGATGTCGATGCGAGCGAACGTGGCGTTGGGGTCGGCGCCTGCCTCCAGCAAAACTTTCATCGTGTCTCTGTACCCGTTGCTCGCGGCAATCAGTATCGGTCTGCCCGCGACTACGCGCGACGCCCTGTCCACGTCGGCGCCGTGCTCCAGCAACAGCCTCGCCAACCGCGGCTGATTGCGCATGACGGCCAGGTGCAGTGCCGTCCTGCCGCAGTGGTCCCTCGAGTTCGCGTCCAGTCCGCGCTGCAGCATGCAACGCAGCAACTGCTCGTCCCCCGAGTGAGCGACGCAGTGCAGCAGATTGAAGCCGGCCGACAGCAGCTTGTCGGCTAGCTGCTCGGTGTCGAGCGTCCGGCTGCGTAGCTCGCCGACGAGCAGCTCGAGAATCTTGACGCGCAGCTTCTTCGGCGCCGGCGCCGCCCGAAAACCATCAGCTGCAGCGCGATCTTCGCCTCGCTCTTCCGGGGCATTGAAAGCTGCTGCGTCGACGCGCTCTATAGCCAGCTCCAAGGGGCTGTTGCCGCCTTTCCCCGGCAAGTCGATCTCGGCGCCGAGCTCCACCAGGTGCTGCACGATATCTGGACTCTGCCCCAAAACCGCGTAATGCAGCAGTGTGTTCGTCTGTTCGTCCGATGCTCTGGCCAACTCTTCGTTCAGCATCGAGTTCGCTTCGTTCGCTCGACCAAACTGGATGTGTTGCATTAGTCGGCTGTCGAAGTGTGATTCGCGTTTTTCAGCCATTTCCATGAGAAATACACATGAGCTTCCGTCAACTGGAATTTATAATGCAACGTCGTGAAAGGCTATACTTCCGTATGAGATCTAATCGGAAGAACAATTTTTCAAACATACGTCGTTCGCGCCTTATTAATTGCGTTTGGGTCCAGATGGCAATTGACTAACGAGTCTTGACGACTTGTTCTCGCGTGGCTTGCTTCTGCGGGGGCAGGCTATTTACACGAAACTCGTGCAGTAACTTCGTCAAGGGGCTTATAAAATTATCAACTGGGCCTGCTAATGGGATAGATATTGTTCATGAGTCAGAGTCGATATTTATTGACAGCTTGACCTGCTTCGTTATCTTTCTACGTATACGCTAGTTTTGTACTTTGTTTATTTCTTAATCGACGATTGAAAAAGCAGAATATTTAGGCTTACGAGTTAAGCGTTCGTCGAAATAGCAAATAGTATTCGGATATCAAAAATTTTAATACAAACTTCCGGGCATAAAAACAATAATGTCCGTTTATATTTCATTGAAGTTCTAAGTCGCGGTGCTGGAAGATATCGGTCATTATATCGATACAGGCGAAATATATCAATGATACACGTCAAGCAAGTATTCACCTAAAAGCGACACGTTGCAAAATTTTTTATCGAATGTCAAGCCTATTATTAAAATTAAAGCTTGAAATGCTCGATCTTTTCGCCGAATTTTCTAATGCCAACTTGAGAGAAAAAAACTACTAGTTGAATTTCAATACGTAAGACAAAATTTTAATGAAAAAATGGTACTTTTTTATTAAAAAACATAAAGAAATTTTATTTCTACTTCGGAACGTAATTTAATTTTACAAGTACTATAAATAAATTAATTATAAAATGTCCATGAGGCTTTATTAATTGGCCTTGTTTGTTTTCAAAAAGGATAAACGGCTGTACCTCATCGTTGATTTCATTTAATAAAACAACGATAGCTGCTATATATCAATCATTGATTTATTTTTAACATTATAAATACATAAAAATAACATCATCAGAATTGATTTCATCAAAGGTACTCTGAGAATTCAATTATGTTTTACAGCATAAAATCGCATCTTTTTCATCGACTGTCATATATTTATAAATGCTGCAATAATTATTAATCACATAATTATTGAATAATTTATCTGCAATTGATGAATTTTAGAAACCTAGTTAATAATTTACTTGTATTTTTATTCGTGACAGTAAAATAAATCATGACTGTGATATACATTTACTAAATCAATGATGACAATTAAGCGAATCAACAACTATACTTATAATGCTCATTGTTTCTTTAGGTTCACCAAAGAAATGAGATCTATGTTATGTCCGTCAAGTAAAATTCATTGCAAGAGTAACTGAAAAAGTGTTGCACCGCATAGCTTTGACCAAATAATAATTGTCAATCGCATTTCAAAGCAAATATCATGAAAACTAATTCAACATGGCTAAAATATTTCGCATGCGCAACGAAGGAAAAAATAATGAAGCATCGCGCGGAAATGCCCCCAAGTTTATAGTCGACGCAATTGCTCGAGGTCTTGCAAACTCAAGTATCCAACAATTTCCCGTGCAAAGTTGTAGCACTGATTGTAATTTCTGTCGAAGATCTTGCAAAGAATCGGAATAGCGGCATCCTCCAGCTTGGCAGCGCGAACAGCGTCGGCGACGCCTTTCATCAGTGGCTTGAAGTAAAAGGTGTATACCCTGCCCAGCTTGCCATTCACGTAGTTGATCTTGGAAAGGAAGGTCCGGTCGCGTACGAGAACCCTCAACTTGCGCTTACCGCCGGTCAACAAGTCGAACAGCGAGTAATTTCTGTAGACTGCGAACTCGAGCAGCTTCCAGCACAGATTGTAGTTGCGGTCGAGCCGAGGCTGCGCGACCAAGTGCTCCTCGACGTTGTAGTACATGACGGACTTGGCGAGCGAAGTGCCGAGCTTGTCGAGTATCGCCAGACGAGCGACCAAAAGGTTGATGCGATCGCTGTTTTTGGCAAGCATGGCGTAGTCGAAAAGCGTATTGCGGTCGGCACTCGAGTTCTGAGGGATGGCGCCATGCTGGAGCAGCAGCTCGATGCAGGCGTCGTAGTTGTTCTGCTCGGACTCGCCCAGAGAGTAGGCAAATGTTGCGAACAAAGGTGTGTAATCGTAATGCTTTTCGGCGACGTTCGGGTTCGCCCCGTGCTCCAGCAGCACGCGCACCATCTGCACCTTGCCTTGGTACGCGGCATCGTACAGCGGCCCGCACCCGCAATTGTCCTGGGCGTTAACATCGGCGTTGTTCTTTAGCAGCCACTCTACCAAACAGACGTCGTCCAACTCGACGGCAGCGTGCAATGCCGTGGCGCCGGAGTGATCTCTAGAATCGATGTCGACGCCGTGCTGCAAGAAGCTTTCCAGCACTGCGGTATCCCTGAAGAAAGTCGCGTGGTACATGGAACTTCCGGCCTGGATCAGTCGCTCCACCAGCTCCTCGCCGTCACGGCAGTCGCGTCGCAATCTTTCAAGGAATAACATCAACATGTCCTCGTGCGTTTGCGAAGAAAATAGCAACTGCAGCGCGTTTCGTCCACTGACATCGGCAACCTCGATACTGGCATTGCCATTCAGCAGCACTTTGACAGTTGCTACATTACTATTCTCCACAGCTACCATGAGAGGCGTCTTCGATTCATAGTCAAAGAGATCGACTTCGGCGCCCAGCCCTATCAAGTATTGGGCTATGACTTCGTTGTTGTAGAGGGCGGCGTGATGCAGCAGCAATCCCAGGGCATCCTTGATATCGTGCAATTTGTTCTTCAACAATCTCATGGCTACGTCATTGACGCCCGACTCGATGCAGCGCATCAGCAGGGAGTCGACGCGCAACGGGCTTCGCTCCGGTATTTCCTCGATGTTCGGATGCGCCATTTCGCAAAGCGGCAACAGGCAAAGCAAGTAAGCCAAGCAGCAGGCCGACATTAGCCTGTTCGATGTACGATTCGCTATCGACGACGCCTGCTATGCGCCCTCAACCTTTCCAAATGCGTCGCTCTGCAAACGTTTGAACGATACTGAAATCCCATTACCGAGTTTTACCTTTCTCGACGACGGCTTCACTTGCAGGATTATTAATTCATCGCTACATATCGATCACATCTGCACGAAAAGGATTACCGTCATAGTTGCAGCTTTGTCCACAGGATTATGAAACGATTATCACCTCGCTTATTCTTACATTACCCGATGTATTCTTTCATCATCGCTGCAATATATATAATTTTTTCGTATCTTTGAATTTTATAAAGTTTTCATATTTTATTAATGGAAACTTATTTTGTTCCTTTTTTACGGTTCAACTCTCGCTTAAACCATCGATGAAAACTTCATTGCAAAATCTTAATAATTAAAGGCCTGGGAAATAAAAAAATAATCCTATCTTTAGTCCTATTGCACTTACGAGATCATTTTTTTTGTAAATTCGTTAAAAACTTATAACTTTCAGATGCTATTGATCAATAATAATAATCACGTTTACAATGGACACCATTCAATTAATTAATTAAATTATTCATTTATAGCATTCACTGAAAAGCTAATCTTTAGCAACTGAAATTTAACACATGATCACGGAAATGAAGACATTTATACGACACGTACCCACATTGCAAGAAATTAATTTTCAAGCACGTCCCTTTTTAATAACAATAACTTTTATAGAAAAAGAATTTCAATATTTTATTAAATTTAGATCGCAATTTCATCTCTTCAAAAATCTCAGTTTATACAGCATTACAAATCAATATTTTGTGAATTATAAAAGTTATTAATTAATTAACATATTTCTCACTGTAATGGTTGTTTTGCAGTAACTCAAACGCTATTTATCCGATTTTGACGTTCAACGCGTCATTTTGTAGATTTTTTACGCTCGGAAAAGGATAAAAGTGTTATAGTTTTGCATGTGAAAATACAAGATTGAACATTCATTGACTCATTACCACAATTGTTTAATGTACAATGAACATTTTCTAATAAAAAAGTTTTATGCAATATAATGTATCTTCTATTTTAAATTATAACTTGAGTATGCCACGATAGTTTCTACATATAATTCTAAACTATCAATATCATGTAAAAATATGAATTTAGTATTAATGTGATAGTAAAAAATTCATTTTACACTATGGGCTGAGTCAAAAGAATAATTGTTAAATTTTAGTAGTCATAAAGTTTAAAAACAACTGATCCATTGTCAGCTAATTATACTTCTATTTTAATACCATCCTTGAATTTATTTTATGGTAAATTAGATAATATTTATATCAAATTTGAATCAAACTTATAATTTTTTTTTGTTTTTTAATGTCACTTTGTACAAAGCGAAAAAGTATTATATTATAAAAGTATATAATTTATATAAGTATTATATGAATTTACAAGTACAAAATTATCACAATTACTTCTCTAAAAGACACTTCAATAGATTCTATTCTACCTTACCAATGTGTTTATATATATATAAAATTTTCTACAATTTTTATAACAGCATATTGTATTCATCATTATAAATCTATAGTTACTACGCTGTAAGTATTCCACATTTTATCATTTCTAGCTGATTCATTAGTTTTTTTTTAATTTCATTTGTAACGTGGAAAAATGAACCATGACCTGGAATGATAACATCTGCAAAATCTGCAATCATATAACGTGATGTTGCTTGATGTTCTCTGAGTTCAGGCATACCAAAATTCATCCATATAGATGGTTTATTCACATCTTCTTCTTTTTCAAATAAATCACCTGAAAATTTTATTGCGCATGAAATTTTATTTCAAATCATACTTGAATACTCAAATATCAAAAATTCCAAGTATGAACCTGTTATTGCAACTCTGGCTGTCTCACCATTAAACTTTCCATCCACCAAAACTGTAACATCTTCTGCTGTATGCCCTGGAGTTGATATTACTTTGACTCCTTTGGTAATATTATAAACAGCTGTAAAAATATTAATGACAGAGGATGACCATATTTATCTGAAGAGTAAGAATAAGTTTATACTTACAAGTTTTAATGTTTCTTTCATGGAATAGTGTGTTGTGATGTACAGTACATCCAACAATATGTTCTTCTGCTTTCAAAAATAAATTGTTGTTTCCTATGTGATCTGCATGACTGTGTGAACATATAACATACTTTATATCGTCAGGACTTAAATTATGCTTGGCTAAAGCTGAAAAAATCAAATATTTATTAGGCAATTTTCTATGACAATAAATTTAACGACGTATGCTTTTGTTATTCCAAATATTCTTCCTTATCAGAAATTCTTCTTTAGATCAATAAATTACCCAAAAAAATGTATATTTTATATGGATTTTTATAATTACTCTCAAATATTATTATAACATTGTTGCAATTAATTTATTCATAATTTATTACTATATGTACATGTTGTAGTCAAAATTGTTTGTAACATTTTCCAAACTCAAAACTAAAGATATGCTAAATACTTTTACCATCAATAATATCCTGTTTGTCCCAGGCAGTCATAGTATCAACAATGATATTGTGTTTTTCAGCTGTTTTAATTAAAACACAACTGCAATTTGCATCCATTGTGACATCGTCAATTTGAGTAGAATAACCCTCAAACAGTACTATAACTTCGCTCATATTTAAATAAATATTGAACAAACAAAATACTTAGTTTCGGTCAGACTCAAAAGCATAACAATAACTTTTTATGCAACCAATGTTTATGAAAGTAATGTTAGATAGGGTTCAGCCTCAGGGACTCTGCTATCCAGCACTGATGCGCGTGCGCAGACTGGTACCGGTGCAGTGCCGGGTGCTTAGTAGGGGGGAGATGTGGAGGAAATTTATAATTGGTAAAGTGGTGGCACCGGCGCGATACTGAATTGAAATCGACGATTCGTAGAAAGCCAAGTGCGGTGACTGGCGACTTGTTACGACTAGTTTCCCCAAGAGCTTTATACCATTCGTTAGTGTACGACTATTATGAAGGATTACGTTATAATTAAGTATCGGTGATTTATTAAAATTCAATTACGATATGGGTGAGAGTGAGAGGCAGGTGAAATTTTATGGAAAATGTTTAAGTATTACTACTAGGTGAGTATGACGAACACAAGAGATCGCGTGATTACTTTCTTTTTGATTTTTCAGTGTCAAGTTTCAAAGCTTGGATTAAGATATTTTACTGAAAAATTAAAATGATTACTTATCGGATGTGCATGTGAATGAAAATGATACTGATTTCACTGAACATTGTTAGATACAGTATCAGGTTTAGTCGGACTTCATTTATGATGAATTCTTTGTTGAGACTTTGATACGTCGTGAATGTCAATAAGGGCGTGTGGAAGTAAAAACAAAGAAGAGTCTCAACGGCTGTTGTGAAAATTTCTTTTTGTCTGATTTATTTATTTTTTTTTTTAATTATTGTTCCATATATTTGATTTTATATTAGTATTTCGATTAGTTAGATTTGTGTATAAAAAATGCACGATATTATTTGAAATGACTAGTTAAATTTTGATTTTCAGTGGAAGATTTGATCAATCACAATGTAGAATAAGAACCCCAACAAATGAGAATCATATGGTAATTTTTACATTTTATTTTATTTTTATCTTCCAACATTAAATTAAGTAAAATTCAGTAAAAACCATAATATGACGTTGATTTTTGTTTTTAACATTACAGATTTCATGCATATATGGATCATATATGTTATTTACTTTGAAATAATTTTTTAACTATAAAACTTTTATAAATAAAATATATTTTATAGTATTGCATAACGTAAATTGTTAATAACGGCACCGTACTTTATACCTCACTGTGTGTGTGTGTGTGTGGTATTTCGAACTAAGTCACCGAAAGATGAATCGTATGTGCGGATTTAAAGGCAGCGCTATAAAGTGATAAACGATACTGTCGTGCCATGACTTGAGGGTACGGCGTTAACCGCCCTCGCTATATTCGGGCGTTAACTCGCCGTATCATTAAGTTTCGTTTACGGCACTAGTTTTGGTATATACTATTTCTTACTACATTCATTTATACATTTGTAGTATGAACTATGTAACATTTATAGTTACTTCATACGATTTTTGAAATAATTTTAGTAAAACATAACTATCTTCAATGTTATAAAAAAAATTATATATATTTTTTAAGATTTAAAAAGGCAATTAATTATTTGTATGTCATTGTCTCTCATTCAACTTGTTAATAAAAAATATCGATATCAATGTCATTAATGTATGATTTATAAATTTTTAATCCAGCAGTCAATACCAAGAAATATGGATTTTCTTCACTACTTACCTAAAAAGAAATTGTATGGTTTTGAGCCATATATACCACCTCATCGCAGATGTCAAACTTTTGATGAAAATAACATAGTAAAGTTCAAGCAGACTATTGTTAACAATCCATCAATACCAAGAAATTGTTATAGTAATTTAGAATTGACTAATAGCAGTCTATGTACAGGTACAAAGTCAGAATGCTCTGCCTTTTACTATAACAAAAACTTTTCACATGAACCGAGTAGTAATGAAAATATTGATATAAAAGAGAGCCATGGTTTAAATGACAAATTTTATGATTACAAGAATAATTCTTCATTAGTTTCAATTAGTAATGATATTTTAACAGAGAGAGTTTTAAAACTCATCGATTTCCATCTGAATACTGGGTTAAAAGAAATTTTTAAAAGTTTGTACCAACAAACTTATGGTGAAACTTTGCCATCAGATTTACTTAATAGTTGGACATTCAGTGTTGTGTTAAAAGAAAATACACAAAGCTCAGTAATAAATAGAAAGGTAAATAATTGTATTTAAAACTAATTTGTAGGTAATACTGAAAAGATCATTTTTTATTAATATTTTTAATAAAGGTTTCAGATTCAAGCAAACAAATGGAATTGCCAATGATAAAATCAGTTCTTCTGGAACTCAACACATTAGGTAATGAATTTTGGGTCAACATACATTATTGCAAAAATGTTTCAGAGGTATGGGGAGTTATAATGGATGAAAACCACCTTGTAAGATTTTATAATATAATATTTTGCAAAAGTAAAATAACAATTTTAACATAAAATCTGCTTGGTTTACAGGGAAAAGTAGTAGAGCTTGCAACTCAAATGAAATCGTTTTATGAATGTTCAAAAACCTCTAATAACAGAATAATCCAAAATGCATATTATGCTATAAAGGATAAATCATGGCATAGGGTAAAGTGTCTTCAATGCAATGATTCCACTGCTACTGTGTTTTTTATTGACAGTGGAGAGAAGGATGATGTTGCTTTAAACAAATTACACCAACTCAGTTCTCAATTTTGCATACTACCTGCTCAGGCTGTAAAAATGGTTTTAACTGGCTTGGAAATCTTTACAGATTTTGACGAATTACAATTAATTTTGAATGCTGAACTGTATAATAAAATTATGTATGTAAAAGTTACTTCAGTTACTGTAGATTATTTATCAGTTCAACTATACTTTACTAATGACAATAATGAAATGATCAATGTTAATGAACTGATTATGTGTCAAATGTTGGAAAAAATGTTGAATCCCAAGCTATACATTCAAAGAGTAAGTATATTGATTTAGAATTTTTAGGGATATTACAATAATTTTTATTTTGCAGAACAATATTGTACCTGCACATGTTTCTCATTTAAAAAATAGAATTTATATACAGTTAGATATACCAAGCTTTAGATATTTCAATTTATTAATGGAAAAGGCAATAAAAGAACTAAATGACAATGAACATTATGTACATCAAAAAGTAAAGTATGACATAAATCAAATTTATTTTGTAAAATTTAACAAAGATAAAAGATGGTATCGCGGAAAAATAATGAAGTTTATAGATGATAATGAGGTTAAAATATTTTTGATTGATGTTGGATCACTAAATGAGGTGAACAAAAACAATATTATTTCATTGGAAAAAGTTTGCAATATTTTGGCAAATTATCCACCTCAAGTAAGTCATTCTCGATTAGAATTTCTAAAATAGTAAAATTTGTTTTTTCAAATTCAAGATCCATTATCTTTTATTCAATAGGCTATTGAAGTTCAGTTGGACCAAATTCCTATTTTAGATCCTAAGATATTATCAACTCTTCAGAAAGTAATTTCTAGAAATAAAATTCATGTGAAGTTTGTCACTACAGCAGATAGCAATGACATCTCTAGAGTTCAGTTGTTAAAGAAGACTGAAAGTAATTTTTTTATTTCAATTAATGATGCTTTGTTGTTTCTGAATAAAGAAATATCAAGTAAACATGATGATAATGAGCTGGCTAAGTCTAACCATTCAATTAGCACATCAAGTGACAAAGATTTCAGTACTTCATTAGTGCAATCATTGAAGTCATTTAAAATTTCTAATACAGAAGCAAGTAAAAAAGAGCTGGAATTGAAAATAAACAAGGAAAAAATGTATTATTATTGTGCCTGATGCCTTAAAAAGAAATTGTAATAGTAGTCACTAATAAATTTTGGTTTCAGATCAAGGATTCGTAAAATACACAATAATCAAGAAAGAGGAGTGTGCATGGCCATGTGTTTGAGCTCAGTTATTGAAGCACCACAGGTTCCCCAAGGCTACTTTGATGTGCATGTTTTTATGTCTAGTGATCCATCCCATTTTGTTGTACAACTCCTTCGTAACAAAAATTTACACTTTAATGTAAGAAATCTTTTTTTTTCGTTAAGTGAGAGTGTATTTGAAATATTTTTGTATGATATTGTATCGTTGTAGAAGATGATATACAAAATGTCTGAAACTTGTAGAGTTTATCAAGGACCAACATTAACTTACGATTCAATCAAAGTTGGTCAGCTTTATGCTTGTAAATCATTAGAAAACAATAATCGTGATTGGTGTCGGTAAGGAATGTATCATTTAAATAAGTAGTGAAACCAATCATCAAAGTAATTAAATTAATTTTTTTTCAGGGCTTATGTAACTGAAGTAAGAGACAAACAAACTGCCTCAGTATATTGCTGCGATTATGGGTCATACAAAAATGTTGATATTAGTAATATGGTGCCTTTGGAACATGAATATTATAGATTACCTTACCAAGCGATTTGGGCTGAATTGAATGGTGAGTTTTTTTGCCCATAATGACACTGAATACATCTGTTTCTTTCTTCAAATTTGACTAACTTACTAGGAAAAAAATATTGTATTTTCAGGTGTGAAACCAACTTCCAAAGAATGGACAGTCATGGCTTGTTTGAAGTTTCAAGAGTTAACACAGTCGAAAAATTTTGTCAGTCGAGTAGTTAGCCAACGGAATTTCAAATCAAAGTCTCTAGAAAATCCCGTAAAAACTCCAATAACCAAGGAAGTCATTTATAGCCTTGAACTTATTGATACAAGTTCAAGTGATGAAGATATTGATATAGCTGATTTACTAGTTAAATATGATATAGCTGAAAGATGTTAAGAACATCAACAGTATTTCTGTTTTTTTGGCAGAATGAATTTTTTGCTAACGATAATATTCGAAATCACAGTTTATAACGATGTTAATATGCATATATATTTTATGTTAGTTTGGGATACATTTTTAATAACATGTAGTTACTCTAGAAAAAAGACGTAATTTTGAAATACGATTTCGAGACAACGAATGAATCGTCTTTTTAATTTTCATATTTATGTAATAGTTAGTTATTATTTGTTTAATTTTATACATTTTACTATGGTTTGAAACTATTTGATGGTCATAAAGTATAACAATAAAAATTATTGTACAGTATATTTAAAAATTATTGTTCTTTTTTATTTTAAAACTATGAAAAATAATACATTATAATTATTTAAACTTTTGTGTTATACTTCAATATTTGAATAGCTTAACAGGTAGCGACTTGACCAAATTTATATCGACTATAAATATAAGATTTAGAATAAGAAGAAAACGTAGACAAATTTAAAAATTACATGTGACTTGAAAGCGTATTCTTACGTAATTGGCAGTGCATTTATTTTTTGAGCCAATAAAACAGATATATTTATTTTAGATGATTCACTTACGAGATTTATTTGAATATAGTGAATAGAATTGACAATCAGTGTCGATATGGTCGTTTGCACCTATACTAACCTGATCACCGAATGAACTTTAATAAAAACATTCTGGTTGTCATCAAAGCTTTGAGAGATATTCGACCGAAAAAATGGGTAAAAAAGTGCCGTTTGTTTCTACTTGTTGATTGTTTGATAAATTATTAAAAGATGAAGTTGGTAAGTTAAATGTTAAAAAAGTTTGTTTCTATTCTTTCATCAATATCTGATAATTCATGTTAGATCAAAGATAACCTATTTAATATTTGTGTATTCATTCTATTCTTTAATCTAATCTTATTTATTTATCAGTCATAAACGCTGATAAATAACGATTTATGTATTATTCTGAATAAATTCTAACCTTTAACTGATTGTTGATTATTATAGTACAGTTTATCTAGTGAGCCAACAAAACCATGTCTAGTTCTCACATTCAAGGGCATTACATTAATGCTCGACTGTGGACTAAACATGCAGTCAGTACTAAATTTTATGCCAATGCCTATGATACCTAGTGCTAAGTTTAATTCACTGATAAATTGGGTTCCTCGTGATAACTATCAGGACTGGCAAATAGAAGGGGTAAGTCTGCTACAAGTAGATAATCTTAAATTTTATTATTATTAAATTTAATTATGCTCTTTTGTAGGAACTGAAAGAATGTTGTGGCAGGGTATTTGTAGATTCAACTCCAGAATTTTGTCCACCTTTAGACAAAATTATAGACTTTTCAGAGATTGATGCCATTCTAATATCAAACTACACTTGCATGTTGGCATTACCTTTAATCACAGAAGGTACAGGTTTCAAAGGTGTCATATATGCGACAGAACCTACACTTCAAATTGGCAGATTTTTCATGGAAGAACTAGTAGAGTATATTGAGCAAACACCAAGAGATACAATGGCAAGGTACTGGAAAGAGATGTTGCATATATTACCACCACCTTTGTCTGATGCTTTTAAACCAAAGTCCTGGAAACATATATATTCAATGGCAGCTGTGAATTCAGCATTAGCTAACATCCAACTGGTTGGCTATGATCAGAAAATAGATATCTATGGTGCTTTATCTGTAACTCCTATAAGCTCAGGGTATTGTTTGGGAAGTAGCAATTGGCTAATATCAAGTGATCATGAGAAAGTTGCATATGTTAGTGGATCATCTACACTTACAACTCATCCAAGGCCTATGGAGCAAACAACTTTGAAACATGCCAATGTGTTAATTCTCACTGGTTTGGCCCAGATGCCTACTGCTAATCCTGATACGATGTTGGGTGAATTGTGTATGACAGTGGGTAAGATGCTTTTATAATTTTAATAGTATATTATATATAAACATTTTCTTTTATTAATCAATTTTTATTTTTCATAGCAATGACATTAAGAACTGGAGGCTGTGTTTTGATACCTTGCTATCCTTCAGGAGTAGTATACGACTTGTTTGAATGTCTTAGTTCTCACCTTGACAAATCAGGCTTCTCTGCAGTTCCTCTATTCTTCATATCTCCAGTGGCAGAAACATCTCTGGCTTACTCGAATATTTTAGCAGAATGGCTGTCAACAAATAAACAAAACAGAGTTTATCTACCTGAAGAACCCTTCCCACATGCATTTCTTGTAAAAAATGCCAGACTAAAACATTACACTTCCACTTATGCTGAAGGATTCAGCACTGATTTTAGGCAACCTTGTGTTGTTTTCTGTGGACATCCTAGTTTAAGATTTGGTGATGCGGTACATTTCATACAGATGTGGGGCAACAATCCTCAGCATACCGTCATATTCACAGGTGAGATTTCAATTTTTCTTAGCAATCAATTATTGTATATTTTTAAATCTTTTTAATTTTTCAGAGCCTGATTTTCCATACCACGAAGCGTTAGCACCTTTCCAACCACTCGCGATGAAAGCTGTACATTGTCCAATAGACACATCGTTGAATTTCACACAAGCAAATAAATTAATCCGAGACTTGAAACCAGAGAATCTAGTTGTACCTGAGCGGTATGTGCAACCGCCGCTAACTGCACCTCATAGGACTGATTTGGTTATTGAACCAGTGGGGGTATGTAACTATTTCAATGTGAGTTATTGATTTATAAAATTAATTGTTAATGAAATGTGTTTTAATTTTATAGGAAAAGTCATTGATCACATTTAAAAGAGGTGAAGTAATAAAACTTCCAATGAAGAGGAAGAAAGGACGAGTATTCATTGAACCAGGTCTGGCTGAAAATATCATCCCGAGTGAAATTCGGCCAGGATTGAGTTTAGCTTCTATTAGTGGAGAGCTTGAAGTGAAAGATAACGTTTACACAATCAAGGTATATTTATTAAGCAATGTTTTGTTCTTTTGATGGAATGTAAATTCTAACTTTATTTTTAGAGTTTGCCGGAAAGGCCCCCCGAAAACAGAAAACGAAAAGCTTCAATTAAGGACCAAATTATTTTTAAAGAAGACGTTTTGAAAGAGAGACGACACGAGTACGGAAACTTGGATCCTCAGGAACTTCTTCAGAAGCTGAATCAAGAAGGAATCACTGGTGCAAAGTTACAGCACACACCTACGTCGATCAGTATTCATTTAGTAAGAAATTTTTCATTTAAGTGGGTTCTAGATTGGGGTATTTTACTATTAGAATTTATTTGTTGTTACAGCCGGACGACACGCTTATACAAATAAGTGACAGCTCGACTCATATATTTTGCAATAGCGACCAAAAATTAAGACGAAGGCTGAGAAACATAATAATGCAGTGCCTAAAACGATTTTAAAATTAAATATAGAGTTTTAATTAAATGAAAAGGTCGTTATAAAAATAATGTTCATTTTTTGTACGTGATAATATAATCATCGTTTATTGTGATTCACAGAACTAAACGTCGCTCGACGCCTTGCTAACACGCAAGGTTTTATGCATATGTTTTTAGATATTTCAATATACAGATTCCTTGCTTTTTTGCTTTACATTTAAGTGCTACATTACATAAGTTTCTTTTTTATAATACTATTCAACAAGTATCATTCCGAGATAGCCCGAAACTCATATTTTTCTCTTACATTATCGGCTATATGCGTGTATTTGTGTAAGTATGCACTCTCAAAGCGAAAAAATATAATAATTTACACTAATATGAACACAAACAACTGAGTGTTAGGACTAAAAAGCGAAGGGAGTGCCAATATTTTATGTACATATCAAGAAAACATTTCAAATGCAACAACCAAAAAATCAATCTCACACGATTATTGTAAATAAAAATTCGGTAAATTCGTTCAAAAATTCAAAACTAATTACTGAGAAATAAATACGTACAATAAAAAAAAAGATCATTGTATAAGATTAATTGATTGGCTTAAAACACTAGTAGATTGTTTGAATGACAGTTTATGAATATGTACTAAAGTATACTATTATACTATTCTTTTTTTTCTTTCATTCTAAAGTATTTTTTCTTAATCGTGCTGCATTTTAAACGCATATATGCATTTTTTTAGATGGTCAGTTTTTCATTCGTTTGATTGGATTAGCATTGATAAAGCTGTATTTTTACCTATTATATAATTGAATAGATTCCAGTACAACGTTAGATCACACTTTAAGGTAATACCATATTTTTTATAACAATTCGCGCGATCAATGAGAAATGAAATAAGAAAATTGCAAATTCACAATCGTTGTATCAATAGATAAACGCTTATCCAACCAAAACGGGCAGTTAGAACCCAAAAGAAATGATGCCCTATTTTAGAATAATCTCTCAGGCACGCGAGCTCGACAATAAGCGCGAAACTCGTAAAAATTCTTTTTAAAATCCTCGACGAACCTTGTAAGTGAGTCGATAGGATTGACGGGTTCAACGATTGATGGGGCGATAATTTCAGGTTGATTGGGTTTCCATTTGCTGCGCAAGTCTACGATCAAAGCGCAGCACTCGTTTACCTAGTTGGCCGATGCCAAGCCTATCGCCACACCCGCGGCGAAAGATACCAAGAAGAAGTGTATTTCCTTAGCACGGAATGGTTCACCATCGCCAGTTGAACAGATGTTTTGATACCAACGACGTCCACGTGATTCACCGTTCTTCAACAGCTGCTCGGCCTTGTTCAGCTTCTTGTCCACGTACCTCTCCATCTGCAAGCACCCTCAGATTTGCACTTGTTCTTGTAATTTTATTTTCGTTAGTCAAGTCATCTATTGTTTTTATTTAAATTTGAACACTAATTTAACTGTTATTTTCTGATTGCATGAGAGATATGATTAGAATTAAGAAGATAGAAAAACTATGGAAGTTTTAGAATTGGTTTTTATTTAAACTGTTGTAATACACAAGGCAGTCTTTACGTTCTTTTTCAAACAATAGTATTCTGTTGGTAAGATATGTGGTTGAGGTAATTTGGGCAATCATTCGTTCATTTAAATGTATATTAGCAAACAGAACGTGATAAGAACTTGTACTAGGGTGTGACTGATTCATTTTTTTATTGATAATTTTTTGTAGATATTAAGATTGAATTATTATATTGAAAACTGTCATAAAAAATATTTCATTAATGAATCAGTCAACTTATTTAGTTCTTTCTAAACTTTATATTAGGCCAAATTTTGGCTTTATACTATAAATATATAATATATTGTACATTTTATTAGTATGTTTCGAGCTTCTAGTTTCAAATCAACTTTGAAAAATCAATTTGGAAATATAAAACAATTTTTCACAAGAGTAATATAAAACAAAAACACTTTCCTGAATTGATTTTCCTCAATTGATTTTCTAAACGTTTTTTAATTTTTCAGAAAAATTTAGGCAATTCGTAAAAAGTTATTTTCAAAATTTTCTTTGGCTATCTTAAAAAATTATACAATTGAATTAGGTGAAGTCTTATTTACGTCTTATTTAATTTTTATATAATACAGAAGCCACGATTATCGGATTTATGAAGCTAGGCCGATTATAAAGCCACCAAGAAAACTGGTAGCCAAAAATGTGTTTGCTCGACAGAATTTTCCTACCTGAAAATCATACAGAATATTGATTCTGATAGGTGAATTTAATGACCTCTTCATACACTATTTAAACTAGAAAATCAAATAAGTTTTATATGATTTAATTTAAAAATATCTTTTAAAATATTCATGAATTAAAGTATGACAAACACATTTTATTTATTGAATACAATAAAATATGCAGTGATGAATTGCAAATATTGTAGGTGTTATGTGTCACAATATATTGATAAAAAACTTTAAGATAATAAAAATTTAATAAGCTTGATCAAAAATTTAGTTATATTTGTACACATGCAAAAATTCAGCTCAAAGAAGATATTACATTATTAGATTTAAATGACACTGAAGTGATTTTCTAGTATAAATATATAGCAGTTGATAATGAAATTATAGAAAATCACCAAACTCACCTTATCCATTAGTTTTGGACCTTCACCAGTTAGTTTTTCTTCGACTTTGTCTGTGATTTTGTCAGCCTTCTTTTGAATCTTGTCCCAGTTAATTTTGATGTATCCCTGATTTGCGGCAATTTGAAGCATGATGATGCCACCACCAACAGCAAAGGCTGCAACTTTTCCAACTTTCATGGTCATAAAGCCAGTGGCCCTAAAACAAGAAATTTTAACAATTTGACTGAATAAAAATTGAAAAAAAGATGACTTAAATTTGATGAGGGATCATTTTTACCATCCTGACGTAGTTCCAATGATTATCTGTTTAGTAGCAGATGTTTTACTAACATCACCCAAAATTTTTTCAATGAAACTCTTGGCATCTTTAGCGACATCTGACACTTCTCTGTTAGCATCATCCTTGGTTTTCTTTGAAGGAAGACTCATTTTGATTCTATGTAAAAAAAGATTACACTGTTATTCACATGAGAAAATAATTACTAGTTATTAAAGTTTCATTTATATGCATTGACTGGAAAAATTTATGTATGGCCACTAGTTAGATATACAAAAATTATTATCTCACTAAATAAAATTAAATATTTGAAATAAATAACTGTATGATATGGTGTACGTGTGCTCACTGACTTAACTTTATTCACTACAATTACATTAATGAGATATTTTAAGTTGCTGCTTAAAGGTCATAGGAAGTTTTCTATTCATAAACATGTTTTCTATTTATAAGTTTATTTATAAAAAGCAAGCAAGTAAAAATTCAAATGACTAACGGCAACAAAGAGCTAAAAGACCAAGGTCAATTTTGCACTAACAGTCAGGATACAATGCTCTCAAAGAATTTGCATATACCGAATTATAGAATGTAAAAACGAATTAGAATGCAACTGCAAGTTTAAGTACAGTTATAAAGCTATATATAGACAAACAGATGCTACCCTCTATGAAACTCCAAAATGAAAAATATTTTAATGCTTAAATTGAATGAACCGAGTTAAAAGAGCGAATTCACAACCACAATAAAAGGTAGCGAAATCGGGGCGGCCACCTCGATCGCAGAAAAATCAATAGCCCATCCACACAGACTTTTCACTCAC